ACAGACTGTTGCGTGGGATCCGGTCATACGCTTTCTCTAGGTCCACAAAACACATGTACACCGGCTGGGTACACATTAAATTCAACTGATATATCGAATACTGATTTTTGTAAAGCAATTTGTTTTTTACTTGAACATCGACACTGCGATATTGTAGGATTACGTTGAGCTACATCGCAAATTTGAGTCGCCTCCTTGACACTGGTGTGGGCTACGACTTGGTGAACTGCAGAGGATACAAGGATACAACACCAAGCAATACACGTGAATTGATAGCTTTTGTGCGAGCAAGACGAACGCTCTCAAAAATAATGCTTCTTGACTCTAAAACATAATTATTGTTCCGTAATTTAAACCTCTGCTAGAAGCAGAGGGGCGATACAGTGTTGCGGTGCAACCCCCTCTAATAACTTCTATCTGTCTTGCACTGCCACGGTATCGATGTCAGGCAAATAGACATATCTGCTTATTTTGTATGGTGAATTTCCACAATGCAAATCCGGAATCAGTATTCGGTCAATCAGTCATTTAATGTCGCGGAGGAAACAGCGTCAGACAATTTTTTGAATATTGTTGATCCTGCGCCAGTGCCTCGCCATCGGCAGACGATAACCAGAATCTGGAGAAAGTCATGTAGTATTATGATTAAAGACAATGATTTAAGATGACGATTGATCCATCACCAGTGGTTTCAAATGTGTATAAAAGGTTTTTCTAATATCGTGTATAATTATCACGGATTTACATAAATTGGTCTTGCAACGTTTCTGCTGAAAATGTAGTTTTCTTACGTGAGGTTATCTGTCTCTCAGTCGGTACTTACAAATTTATATCTTCTATGGGCGTAAAAGGTTTGAACTTATACGTTTGGAACTTGCTTTCCAGTTATTAGAACTGAATTTGCTAATTTCACAGACCTTGGGTACAAGAAAATATCATTTATTAACATGTGTGAATTACAGTAATTAAAAACAGTAGGTCAAAAATTATGTACTTATTGGTGTTACAAATTCGAAGGCGCTTTTAAACGATATTACTTTAACGGAACAAACAATAAACAAGCATCGAAGCGAAACAGAAAGCATATCCTTATTTCGCCTTGCACGTCACGCGGCTCCAATTCTCCGGATGCTGCCTCTGATGAATTTTTCGGCACTTCACCTCCTGCACCTGATTGTTGATATTGTCCCAAGGCTTCGAGAAAATCGACGCTGAACACAACTTCATTACGATGGGAGTTTTGGTGGCACATTTTTCTTCACCAACCAATTTACCTGCCACCTATAAAAACATTTACAAATGGCTAACTGCATAATTGATCCAATGTGACTTATACGTCATACTATGTTTATCACGAATAAGGTACGTTATTGCTCATTTTACTAATGCTTATACCACGTGCTGATTATTACAACTAACTGGACAATCAGCTATCAGGTAGATCAAGGTGAATTGCAGCCATAAGAGGCGCTTGAACAAGTATCTCTCACTCATTCTGGTATCACCATACTCTCACCTCTTGCTATATGCCACTGTGCGCCATATAATTTTGCTGAAGCGTGTGCAATGACAACATACTGTTTGTTAGTTATTATTTACGCAGCATGTTATACCTGAAGGCCTTATAAGAGACTTATAACATAGTTATATAATGACATATGGAACAGGAACGGAATCGTAATGCAGTTAATTCACCTAAGCACCATTGCGCTATAGGTGATTGCGACTGAATCGATGGAAACCAAATCACTAACTTTTGATTTCTCCTAATGGACCTACAGCCATGGAACTGATCATATTTCTTACCGGAAGAGAATCCACGGTGATTGATTTCATCGTTTTTGTGAGACTGAGTCCATCGCTCTTGGCTGACAGCCGATACCGTCGTACACCCTATCAGAATTGTTCAGAACAACTTTCTCAGAGGAGGATATAGGTGTAAGTTCTTCGACAAAGTGATTCTTTATTACTTTACCCTGACCTACACTAGTACAAAAAAGACAGATCGGATTATACCGCTGTGCAGTCTCTGACATAAAGTCCAGCCATACCTCACGGTATCAAAGACCAAGACACTCCTCTCAACTCAATTAAGGACTCAGTCGAGGATGAGGGTAAGGAAGGTACGGGCGTACGACACAACTGAATAATCTAACAGCAACGTATCGCCGTGGAGGTCGTCTAGTGATCCAGGGTATGCGAATTAGCAAGCTAGGGTATATTCGAATAACGGTTCGAGTCTGAAGTAATCGACGCGCTTATTTTAGGCGGGGGGTAGATTTATTCGTATATTTCTTATTTTACATCGATACTGCAATAGTGCGAAATGGTTAAAGGAAGTCAATCAACGAGGTTATATCTCTACATGGCATCCTTTTACTTCTTCCTAAACTAGGGGGTCGTTTAGCAGGCCATGATTCCGTTGCATTCAGGCGTCTGCAGTGCATAGGACGAAAGACTGTGTCGCTGAGTCAAAGTATGCCAACTAGTGCGCATGGCTCAGGCGAAATGAAAACGTTTACCACGCAACGCTTATTAACCCCCAAGAATTACAGATACAGTATGATGACAGAAAAACATCATAATGGGAGATGCCATGATGATCAAACTTTGGCCTCCACGTCGCACAGAACGACCGACTTTGGAGATTGCATGACGAAGTGAAGCAAAGCGCAAGGTATATCCTAAGCTGGCACGTTGACTGTTAATTCTAGTTCTGAACTTTGTACTGCAACGGGAGATGAGTAAAGCAATTTTAATAAAGTAGTCAATAAAGTAAGTTAAATTAATAAATGATAATAAAGCAATGGTAGTAGTAAAAAAAGTAATGAAGTAATTTAATTAATAATTTTATTCTGTTTGCCTTAAGCAGCTTTAACGTGGCAGGCTTATCATTGATTGTCTTTAAGTAGTTTTAAGGCGGCAAAATATTGAGGAATGAGAAAAGAAGAAATAGAGGTACATAGATAGAAAGCGACCGTACAAAATTACACATGGAGAAGGCAAACAATAAGCGGATAAGCGAAGAAATAAAATAAATGGAAGGGACGATGAATGGGAAAAATGAGGTACAAACTGCACCCACTAGCAACGACACCACTACACACGTTTTAGCCATGTGTTGTACCCTCTGAATGAGGGAGTAACACTGAGAAACAAAGCAAGCTAAAAGGTTTGGTACACTTTTATTTCCATATTGACGATATACTACCTATGTGTTCAGAGAATGCCAATTTGTTGGAATCTTCCCAGGTACCTTGTAGCCTTTATAAGCGAATAAACCTAACCTGAACTTAAGCTAAATCGTTGACTCTGTGAACAATAGAGCAAGAGTACATTGATGGCCGGCTGACTAATGCCTGAAGATAAACGCCACCCAAACAAAAATTCGCAACTCCTTTCCACTGACAGGAAGTTTGAAAGAACGCCAGCCAAATAAAGGGAAAAAACAGGAGAGTCTGTAGCCTTTGGAATAAAGGTGTTCCTTACATTTTTCTGATGGGCCATTTCTGACGTTTCATTCCATCAACCAGGATGGCCTTATTTTAAAGGCAGAAGTAAAACCAGCTGTGAAACTCACTGTTTAATCTCCTGCTTTTTTACCACGGAGTGATATGCATTTACCAGCCTCATAAGAAAGGAGGACGAGTGAACCAGACCGGGCTTCGAATGCGGATCCTCTCAATTATCGGTCAGACGCTCTATGGACCGAGCTGTCTCGGTCCGAAGCAACGTGAGGTAAATTCACTGTTAAGAAAAAGATTGACTTCAGTCGGAATCGAACGCGGCCGACTCCTCCCGGGGGAGGGGGGGGGGTCGAAGCCGACCTCTTTGGCACTGTGTTTCCACGCGAAGCAGAAAACTATAGAGGTGGCCATCTTAACAAAAGAAAACTCTAAATCTCATACATAGAATAATCAATTAATGAGGTACAGTGTAATAGAGGAACTTATGTGCATACAATAATTTATATCAATGCGGACTGAAATGTCAAATCATAAAAAGGATTAATTCGTGTTGCTGTGGTAGT